ACCAGCCAGCTCCAGAATCTAAATTTAATTGGTACTTTTTTTTGTTTGTTTTTGTTTTGGACAATGGAGGGACTCTGGAAATTTTGTATTTAAGCTTTCGTCCAGATGTATTGTCATGTATTACAATTGTATCCTTTTTTAAAAAAGCCTTCAAGACGTTATAGTTCTGTTTATTCCCATATTTACCATTATTTTCCATTCCTTCTTTCTTTAGAATCTAAAGTTTAGACTTTCTCTAGTGCTTTTCTTCTGTCTAAAGCACATTCTTGAACTTCCTTTAGTGATGTTTTGCTGAAGTCAGACTTTTTAATTACCTGAAAATGTCATTTTGCCCCAATTTTTGAAAGATATTTTTGCTGGTTATAAAATATTAAGATAGCAATTATTCCTTTAATGCTACCTTTCTGTATGCCTTCTGGGTTCCATTGTTTTACTTGTGAAATTGTTCTTTTGAACAAGTAATTTTTCCTCCCCTTCTGGACACTTTAAGACTTCTTGGACTCTTTCTTTGGTGTTCTGCAGTTTCATTACATGTCTAGCTGTGGCCTTATTTTTATTTATCCTTCTTGGGATTGTTGAGCTTAAGTCTGTGTATTAATGTCTTTCTTCAATTCCGGAAAAACTTCAATCATTAATTCTTCATATAGTGCCCCTGCCCCATTTCTCCCTCGCTTCACCTTCTGAAAAAAAAATTTTTTTTTTCCCTTTTTATCTTTTTTCGTGTCCGGCAACGGATCGCAACCCTCAGTGTCACGCCCGTACTGGACCGGGACCGGCAACGGGATCGCAAACCTCGGTGCTGCACCCGCACCTCGCTCAGCCAGTGAGCGGGAACCGGTCTGTATGTGGGATCCGAACCCTCGGCGGGAGCGCCGCCGCGCTCCCAAGCGGCGCACTGTAGCAGTGCGCCACCGGGCCGGCCCCACCTTCTGAAATTTAAGTAAAGGTCTTCTCTCCTCCTTTGAGGAGACCCCTTAGTTTAAGACCCCTATTTCCCACCTTCCTTACTCTTCTGCTTTATTCAGAATAGCTTATGCTGACTTATCTTCAGTTTACTAATTCTGTTTTCATCTGTCTTATTCCTTTTAAACAGCATTAAACCTAATGAGTTTATTTCTAGAAGTTCTACTTATGTTTTTCTCCAAATCTGCAAGGTCAATTTCTCTAGTTTGTTATTCCCCACAAATATCTCCAAGCTTATCATTTATCTCTTTAAGTATAGCAAGCAGAGGAGTTTCATAATCTGCACCTGATTATTCAAGTGTTGAGTCTTTGTGGGTCTGTTCCTGCCGCTTGTCTCTGCCTGTTCTTACTCATGGTGCTTTGTTTCCTTGAGGGCTTGATTATTTTTTTTTTTCCTTTTTTTTGTCTTTTTTCGTGACCGCCAACGGATCGCAACCCTCAGTGTTGCGCCCGTACCAGACCGGGACCGGCAACGGGATCGCAACCCTCGGCGTTGCTCCTGCCCCTCGCTCAGCCAGTGAGCGGGAACCGGTCTGTATGTGGGATCCGAACCCTCGGCGGGAGCGCCGCCGCGCTTCCCAAGCGGTGCACTGTAGCAGTGCGCCACCGGGCCGGCCCGAGGGCTTGATTATTTTTGAGGGTGTTACTCATTGTCCTTGTAAAATTACTTGTGGGGATTTTTCAGATCTGGGATAAAGAGACTTCTTCCAAACTAGATGTGTGCGTTCTTCTGCCAGGTGCCTCAGCCTAAAGCCATTTTAAACTAACTCAATCAACTGTGAGTTTTGGAACCTTCCCACTGATGTTAATTTGGGCTGGAAATCTATGTAAGGTCTGTCTTATGATTACTGCTCTGGGGGGCGGGTACCCCCATTAGACTCTTTACCTAGGGCCATTCTTAGACTTCTAAGCAGAAGCTCAGGTTTGCTGGATTTTGGCACATGCTTCCAGGGCAAGAGTACCTACCATGTCTGACTCACTCCTCTGGTTTCTGCTTTCCCCAGATAGTGTCTGGTTCCCTCACTGTCTTGTCAGTACCTTGATGCCTTTAAGAAAATATCCTTTTGTTTCATCAACATTTTTAGTATTTCTCAGTGGGAGGGTTGGTCCAAATATTTGGCCTATCATACTTCTACAAAAGGAAATTTGTATAAAATCTTAAACCATCTCTTTTCCTCATTTAGCTTTTATCTTATTAATTTCAACTATATATATATATGGTAAGCAGCATGTCAGCTGATTTTGTTTTTAGACTAGTTAGACATTTTCTTCTGGAGAAATTAAAATCCATTAATACGTGCATACATACACATGTATGTGTGTATATGACCCACATATGTGTATACATTTATCTATATAAGTAAATTTCCTGACTTTCACATCACACACGTGTGTGCATGAGTTGAGTATGACATTGTACTGAGCTCAGGAACAGGTGCCTACCGGGGCCCCACGTGTACTTCTGTGAATGTGACTGACATTGTCGTGTGGAGGACCATGGTGAGCGTGCCTGCCAGGCTGAGGGGACAGTGGCAGCCCTGCACCTGTGCCAGAATCAGGCCACTACTGCAAGAACACGATTAAATTAGATTATTTACTTATTGGCAGCTGGCTAGTAGCAGGATGATATAATTTTAAAAAGTGATCACATAGGGCTGGCAGGTTAGGACAGTTGGTTAGAGTGTGGTGTTATAACACCAGGGTCAAGTGTTTGGATCCCTGTACCAGCCAGCCACCAAAAACAAAGAAAAAAGTGATCACATCCAGATGTCCGTGGCTGCTGCAGGGCTCCAACCTCTGCTCTTGCAATGCATGAAGACCATCAGCCACAGCGTTGTCCCCAGAGCATCTCACTCTCCTGGGAGGAGGCGGCAGGTCCACATTACAGTAATGCTTATAACTACACAACTCGTATTGCTTTGTGTGTGCTTTAGTTCTCAGAATGTATCGTGTACTCCTACAAATTGATAAGAAAAGGAGCCAACCACTAACAGAAAATGGAACAAAAACTTTGAAAAGGAGCATCACAGAAGAACCGTGAGAGGTGCCCCCTTTATGAATGATCAGGTTGACACAAATTAAAGCCACAATAAGACGCTGCCTTATATCTGCCAAGTGGCCAACATTTACAAATTTAACCACGTCAAGTTGACAGGGACGAAGGTCAGTGGGAACTTACCCACTGCTGGCAGGGACACGAGCAGACTCGGCTACATGCCAGCAGAGAAGTCACACGGCATCGTATGCAGTTCAAAACACAGAAGAGGGGGCTGGCCAGTTAGCTCAGCTGGTTAGAGCACGGTGTTGTAACACTTCCAACGTCAAGGGTACAGATCCCCATAATGGCTACCTGCCCCCCCCCAAAAAAAAACCATGGAAGACACGGTGTTGTCACTCAAAGTCTCACACACATTTCACAGCTGTTGAGACAATCAAAGAATGATAAACAGAAAGTCCAAATTAGGTGGCATCTCAGGCTGGGGGCACTGCAGAAGGGCACTGAGACCCAGCATGGACCAGTCCCAGTTCCACACTGGGTGGTGGGCATGCGGGTGTTTTGTTTCTGTCTTCAGTTCACATATTTACAGACACTATGTTCTGCCCATTCAAAACTTAATTCACAAATTTAAAAAGATGGTCCTTTAATACAAGAGTACTTGGGCAGAGACCAGAGCTGCCTGGGCAGGTGGAGGGACCTGGGAAGGCTGTGGTGGCTCCAGAAGGACGGTGTCCCTGGGTGTTGTCCCAGGGAAGGGCACAGGAAGGGGAGGGTGGCTGCTGCCAAGCAGGTTGCTTGGGGCAGGCTGTGTACCTGAGGAAAGAGGAGCAGCCTCCCCTGGCCGAGGCCACCTCCGAGCTCTCAGCTCCTGTTCCCAGTCCCGTGCTCTTGAATTTGGGACAAATCTTGCTCTTCTGTTTGCCCTGAAAGAAAATCCCCATGTGCCCAACTCATGCAGGACGTCTGTCACAAGGAGAGCCGAGCCCAGAGGGTGCCACTCCCGAAGACTCGGCTCCCATTCCTGGTGCCAACGATGGCAGGATCAGTCCTGCACTTACGCTCTTCTTCCTCTTCGTTTAACAATACATTAAAAACATAAAAATGATATGTTCTTTTTTTAATCAATTGTGGTCAACACATAATATTTACCATCTTAATCATTTTGAAGTGTACAGTTCAGTAGCATTAAGAACATTCACACCGTCGTGTAACTGTCCCCACCGTCCATCTCCAGGGTGTTTTCGCCTTACCAACCTGAAACCCTGGACCCGTTAAACGCTAACTCCCCGCTGCCCCTCCCCAGCCTCTGGCAGCCGCCATCCACTTTCTGTCTCCATGAACTTGGCTACTACTCTAGTTATCTCATACAAGTGGACTCACAGTATTTGTCCATTCGTGACTGGCTGGTTTCACATAATGTCCTCAAAATTCATCCATGTTGTAGCATGTACTGGAATTTCCTTCCTCTTTAAGGCTGAATAATAATCATTGTATGGATATATAGCACGTTTTGTTTATCCATCCGTCCATCCGTTGATGGACACTGGGCTTGCTCCTTTTGGCTGTTGTGAATAGTGCTGCTGTGAACATGGTATGCAGATACCTCTTTGAGCCCTGCTTTCAGTTCTTTTGTGTGTATACCCAGAAATGAAATTGCTGGAACATGTGGTAATTCTGTGTTTTATTTTTTGAGGAACCTCCATACTGTTTTCCATAATGGCTGCACTAGTTTCTGCTCCCACCCACAGGGTGCAGGTTTCCCTCCTCTCCGCGTCCTGGCCAATGCTTGTTTTCTTTTGTCTTTTCAATAACAGCCATTGTAACTGGAGGGAGGGGATATGTCCTTGTTTTGATTTCCATTTCCCCACTGTTTAGTGATGTTGAGCATCTTTTCATGTGCTTATTGGCCATGGTATATCATTTTTGGAGAAATGTCTATCAAGTCCTTTGCCCATTTTTAATCACTTTTTTTTTGTTGTTATTAAGTTGTAGGAGTTCTTTATATATTCTGGCTATTAACACTTTGTCAGGTATATGATTTGAAAATCTTTTCTCCCATTCCATGGTTTGCCGCTTTACTCTGTTGGTAGTGTCCTTTGAAGCACAGAAGTTTTAATTTTCAAGGTTCAATTTGTCTGTTTTTTTCTTTTGCTGGCTTTTATTTTGATGTCATATCCAAGAAATTGTTGCCAAATCCAAGGTCACGAAGCTTTTCCCCTACGTGTTCTTCTAAGAGTTTTATAGTTTTAGCACTTATGTTTAGGTCTTTGATCCATTTTGAGTTAATTTTTGTATCTGGCGTTAGGTGATAGTCCAATTTCATTTTGTTGTAGTGGGATACACAGTTGTCCCAGCACCATTGAGTGGTTTTGGCACCCTTGTCAAAGATCATTTGACCATATATGAGTATTTATTTCTGGACCAATACGTAATTTCTTCAATAAATTAATTAATACTGGATCCATCACTATATTCATAAATGTCATGGTGCTATGAGTCATTAATTCCAGGATTTGGGGCAAGACATGGCCAGTGCTGCTGCCAGGTCATGCACGCGAGAATCTTGTCGGCACTTTTTCTTTCATGTTTTTCGAAGCCAAACATGGTATATAAGATGTATTTGATCAAATGCTTTTCTCAAATTATTTGTATGTAAAAGTAGTTCACTTGCCACTTCTAACTAAATGTAGAATGGTTAATCGGTGACTAGGTATTAGTATTCTTTTTGGGTTTTTTGGCAGCTGGCTGGTGCGGGGATCCAGTCCCTTGACCTCGGTAGCATTCTTTTCATGTGCAATTAATATTAAAGAATTAGATCTTTAACTTCTAGTCCTATACCCTCCCCATTTTTCAAAACACATGAATCCTAAACATACCTCCCAAGTGCATTTCGTTCTCCCTATAACCCACAGCTTTGTCTGATTCATTGACAGGTTGTGACATTTTTCTTTCGTCCCAGCAGTGTGGACAGTGCCACACACCCTCCCACACAACGACGGCTCTTGCGTGTATTTTCCAGTGTTTCTTTTGTCAGAGAGCCCAGCAGAGCTGCGATTCTTCCAGTGTCAGCCCTGAGCTGCCTGAGGAGTGCCCAGCAGAGATGGTGAAGATGACAAAGTCCAAAACTTTCCAGGCTTATCTGCCAAACTGTCACCGGACGTACAGCTGTATCCACTGCAGAGCTCACCTGGCCAATCATGATGAGCTAATCTCCAAGGCAAGTGGTTTATGTCACAAAATTGATGAAACACCATTAATATGATTATTTGTCATCATGGTACCCACTTAGTAGGCAAATATTTAATCATCACAGACTTCCTGAATTTTTGCTGTGTCTTGAAAGTCTAGAGCCTTTTGGGCAGCATTGATGAAAGTTTTGCGTGTGATTATGTGTGACTGTACCTTGACCTTGGTCATGATCTTAGCACAATGGGTGGGTTTTGGAGGGCCAGGCAACTGGGACTCCTGTAGATTAGGAAGAGCAAGATGAGTCAGTAAAATTAATGTAAAATCAGAGGCATTGAAGGGACAAAGGAAATATGGAAAATCTGTGGAAGTAGTTTAATAAGAAGAGAATTAAGAAATTTTTGAAACAGAATGGTTAAGAAGGAAAGGGGCTGCTGAAGAAAATGCCCAGGAGGGCACAGCCACCTGCGCCAGGATCTGCAGGAGCCCTGGAGGGAAGCTGTGGCCGGGCTGTATGTGCAAGACCCACAGGCCACCTTGAGGATTTGGACGAGAACGCCTGGCTCCTCCCAATCATGAATATTTAGAACAATCCAAACATAATAGGTGAGCTAATGCTCACGTTGGCAACAACAGTCCTCTCCCACCCATCCTCACAGGCCATGACCCCTGACCCATCCTCACAGGTCATGACTCTACACACTCATCCTCCTGAGCTACACAAACCTGCTTGAAAATAAAGCCCATCAGGAAGTTGTGCCTTTCAGGAACCTTTTCTCAACTTTCTTGTTTGACTCAGAAGAACATTTACAATCTACCTGTATTTCGCCAAGTAGTAAGAGAGGTAGTGTCATTCCTGCTCATCATCTGCAGTGAAAACTGTTACCTTTTCTCAACTTTCTTGTTTGACTCAGAAGAACATTTACAATCTACCTGTATTTCGCCAGGTAGTAAGAGAGGTAGTGTCATTCCTGCTCATCATCTGCAGTGAAAACTGTTTAACTAGGCAGAGTTTCTGCTCTCACTGCTTCCATGGCTCCTCTGTCCATTCAGAAGCTTTGGCTGGGCCGGCCTGGTGGCGCACTCGGTAGAGTGTGGCGCTTGGGAGTGTGGCGGCGCTCCCGCCGAGGGTTCGGATCCCATATAGAGACCGGTCCGCTCACTGGTTGAGCGCGGTGCGGGCGTGACACCGAGGGTTGCGATCCTGTTGCTGGTCGCAGTACGGGTGCGACACCAAGGGTTGCGATCCTGTTACCGGTCACAAAAAAAGACAAAAAGGAAAAAAAAAAAGGAGCTTTGGCTAAGACCTGCATGTACCTGAGGCACCCTGCTTTCCAAGGCAGGCATGGTGTGGAAAACAGAGGCGTGAATTAGCAAGAGGCAGAGCCACTTTGAGCCTCCAGGTGGGGGCTGTGTGGCTTGGTGAGGTCTTGGAGCCCATGACACTCACGCACCAGCCATGACCTTTCACCTGAGCAGGTGGTCAGTGCCGGGCACCGTGTAGGTTTGTCATTGTGATGCATGCCAGCAATGTCCATCATTGCATGGGCCAAAAGGAGTTTGAGATGCTTCTTTCAAAGAAACCCAAAGCCATTTAGCTGTTTTTAGAATTACATCAAGATCAGCTCAGTGAGAGGGGAAAAAACATTATCGCGAGGGCCGGCCCGGTGGTGCACTGGATAGTGCGCCGCTAAAGGAGCGCGGCGGCGCTCCCGCCCGAGGGTTCGGATCCCACATACAGACCAGTTCCCACTCACTGGCTGAGCGAGGCGCGGGAGCAACACCGATGGTTGCGATCCCGTTGCCGGTCCCCGGTCCGGTACGGGGGCAACACTGAGGGTTGCGATCCGTTGCTGGACACGGAAAAAGACAAAAGACAAAAAAAAAAAAAAAAAAACATTATCGCGAGCAGAAGTCCAAGACTGGCCAGTCCTCTCAGCTGGTTAGACTGCAGCGCTACAACACCCAGGCCAGGGGTTCAGATCCCCATACTGGCCAGCTACCAAGAAATAGAAAAAAGAAAAAAAAAAAGCCAAAGTCTGCTAGGAAGTCAGTGGAAACCATTATCAGTCATGACACTAAATGAGCATTTCAGGATGAGAAGAATGCCAGGAACTAAGCTTCCCAAGCACACAGGTCCCAGAACCTTGCGTCCCAGCTGGTGATGAAGATGACAGCTGTACTGAACTGTCTCTTTTCTTCCTTATGTCTCCTCCAATGGAGGAGTTCATTGAAAACGGAAAGAACACTTCTCACATGTCACAGACTCTAGTACACAGGCTAGAGGTGCCATCTTGAGACACCATCTTGACAGGGGTTCATCCAATCTCCAAGTCCATATTTGTCACTAGCAAGAAATCCCCTGGTCCAAGGGATCCTGTTCTTGTTATAAGCAGCTCTAGTTGCTAGAAGGCTCTATCTGTTTAGCAAACTATGTAATCTGTGGGCTACGTCTGGCCCACCGTCTGTTTTTATAGTTTTATTGGGTCACAGCCTTGCTCGTCCATTTACATATCAACAATAGCTACTTTTGTACTATGACATAGTTGAACAGAGACCTGCAAAATCTAAACTATTTATCTCCTGGCCCTAATTTACAGAAGAAATATGCTGTCTACAGCTCTGGTCAGGTCTGAATCTGAATCACAGAGCTACTCCCATCACTGATCCAAACCCTGTTTAAAAATAAGGACTTGCAGAAAAAATAAAAAAATAAAGACTTGCAGAATAGGTGGGGAAATTAGGAAATTCAGTCTAGAAAATGGAAAGCTGGTAAAGATGTATGAAAAGTCTGTAAGATGATTGTTAGTTAAATTGAACATAGAATAGTATTACTAATCTTAGAAAACTGCTTAAGGAAATATCCCTTTTTTAAGTCTGAAAGCCATATTGTAAAACCAAACCCCTTACTAGTCTCAGGCTAGGTAGGAGAGAGACTCCCAAATCTCAGTGGCTTAAGGCAAAAGTTTATTTCATGTTCAGGTGAGATGTCTATGAGGGTCAACCGGGGTTCTGGGCTTTTTTCCTATTTTTTTTTCAATTATAAAATAAATTATTGCTCATAGTCACACATTAAAATAATGTGTATATGGAAAGTAAAAAATGAAAATTACTTTTTTCTCCTGCCTTGTCCCAGCTTCACTCCTGGAATTGCGGCTGTTAGTAGTTTGGGGTATGCTTTTTTTTGGCCTATAGGAACACATTTTTTACTTTAAATAAAGAGCTCCCGTGACACTCATTTTACAGCTCACTTTTCTTTACTTAATATTTTATGAATATCTTCCCACGTGTGCTCCCTCCACCTGCCCCAGCCGTGCAGGGGCCCGTGTGGGTGCCGCTGTTCACCCGCTTGCTGATGGGTCTCCCAGTTTTGATCATGAACACTGTAATGGTGACTGTTCTTGGCACATTTCTTATGTACACAGTTCCTTCTATGTACTCAGCTGGTTTGTTCTTTACAGTAAATTCTTAGAAGTGATATTGCTGGGTCATATGATATGTGCCTTTTACGTTTTGATATTGGCAGTTTGTGTTTGTCTCCGTTCGTCACAGCCTTCTGGGTGGTGTGGTGGTGGTTTGGTGGCTGGCCGGTGCAGGGATCAAACCCTGGACCTTGTGTTATCAGTACCACGTTCTCACCAACCGAGCTGACCAGCCAGCCCCTCACGGTGTTCTTGATTTAGTTTGCATTTCTTTGAGTACTTTTGAGGTTGATCATGTTGTGTTTGGTCATTTGAGGCTGGCAGTGGAGCAGGCGAGTCCTCACATCTGGCGTTCTCTCCTGTTCCTGAGCGGCCAAGCGTTTCAGGGAGGCTCAGTGTCCTATCCTGGCTCCTTTACATTCAATCATCTTAGAATACGTGAATGTACTATGAGCTATTTCTTAGCTGGCCACATTTTGCCGGGGTGAGATGTCACTGGAAGGTTCTTTTCTCCAAGTTGAGTTGCTGTCTTGGGCTGCGACACTTTTTTATTTCAGTGGAAAAGTCTGGAAACTTCCCCTTGCCCTCTAATACTTGACAGTGATGCATGAGATGCTTCTGAACTGCTTTAGAAGAGGCGGTGAGGAGAGCGTTTTGAGGGTCTGCAGGTTTTCTTTCACCATCCCATGTTAGATCTCCCCTAATTGGGTTGAGGTGTCTAAGCCCATGAAGCTCACCATTTTGAAACTGGTTCTGTGATTTCACCTGTACAGTCCCTTGCAGAACAATGAAGTACACAGCATCAGCCTGACTCAGGCTAGACTCAGAAACAATGTGTCGCTCTGTTTGGTGACCATTGCTCTTCTGGTGGCACTCCATCTGCTCTGCTCTGGGTGACCTGCCCTGGTGGAGCTAACAAGCCCTGGCAGCCCCACAGGGACTCTGGGTGGCTCTCGCTCTGCACGCAGCCCCACAGCTCACCTTGTTCCTCTTTCCTTCCAGAATGTACAACTCCTTGTCCCTGTTGTCTTACCACAACCAGCCTTCTAACACCATCTTCTTCTTTGCAGTCCTTTCAGGGGAGTCAAGGGCGAGCCTACCTCTTCAATTCTGTGTGAGTACCCGTCGTCATCAGGCTGCTGGGGGCATGGATTCCTCTGGGATGGCACCAATGGCTTCTGGACAGCCACCTGTTTAAATATTCAAAGCTGAAGTATGTAAATGGAGTGCCACCAGTGGTCTAGAATTACCCAGAATCTTTATCTGACCTTAAAGAACCTACTCGCCCTCATCTGGGAATTCCTGAAAGCGTTAACTGTATTCTCTGAGGATTTAGCTCCTGCTCAGCCTGTTCCATCTTAGGATTCTCATGGGGAGATAAAAAGTCCTTCCTTCTCATTGAAAGTGGTGGTGGGAAAGGGGGCAGGGAAGCTTAAAACGTGCAGTGCTGCTCTCTGGAAAGTTCTCCATTTCTGGTGAACTTTTCTGTGCGGGGCCAGAGAAGATGAGCTGGAGATGGGGCCAGGACAGGGCCTCCAGCACTGTTGCCTGTGTCCCCGCAGGGTGAACGTGGGCTGTGGCCCTGCCGAGGAGAGGGTCCTCCTCACTGGGCTGCACGCGGTGGCGGACATCTACTGTGAGAACTGCAAGACCACGCTGGGGTGGAAATATGTGAGTACCTGCCTGTTCTAGCAGCGTCACTGTGACACTTGTGACAGGCCATAAATGGACATGCAGTTCATTTGCAACCAAGTAAGACCTCCCCAGGAGTGGGATAGATGATGTCAATCAAAGACAATGTGTTTTCCAGCAGTTTCTCCGGAAGCCAGTTAAAGACAGGCAAGCACAGGGCGTGGCCACACTCACTGTGCCCAGCCAGCGCCAGTCACCAGTGCTGCCCCAGGTCCCACAGGGCATGGGGCAGGAGGAGCCTGAGGGAGCTGCCATGAGGCTGCTCTCACTGTAAGGGGTAAGCTCTCAGCACAAGGACCTGCTGGGGTCAGGGACTGAGGCCCACCCTGCCACCCATGGGCTCTTGTCCCCAGCCCCTTCTTTGAAAATCGCCATCTCTGCCCCTCTCCCAGCCTTCACCTCTCCTTTCCTTCTTGGTGCACCATGTGGTGATCTGACATCCAAAAGATTACAGGCCTGCCCCGCCCAGCCCCCTCCTGCCATCCCTCCAGGCCTGGCCTCCCCCTGGTCCCCAACACTCTCCCAGAAGTCTCTCAGGTCTTTTCACTGTAGAGGCCAGTATGGATGCTTGGGGCCCACCTCTCTGTCTGACCTTTGTCAGCTGAATCCTCCCCTCTCCTGGGCCATCTCAAACACTTACATGTTGACAGTATCTCTCCCAGCAAAAGTCCCCACCCCCGCCTTCTGGCACCTGAGGCCCATCTAAGTGAGGGGCCTTCCTTTTCAAAGGTGTCACCTGCGTTCTTTCTGCAGGTGATTGTCTCTGGTCTCCGATTCCCCATTTGTGTTATAAGCTGTGAGGGGACCCAGTTCCCGGCAGGGAGATGAGGCCTGCACACCCCCATGAAGGGCCTTCTCTTCCCCATCACTCTGGCTGTCCCTGCCTTCACACTCCTCTTACACGGAACTCCTGGCAGGGGGGCTTGCACCTCTCTACACTCCTAAACTCCCACACGCAGATGGTCCGTGAACGGTTATAAAGGAACATTGCCCTGTGAGTTTAATGATGAATGTGAAGTAAAAGTGGTCGGTAGAGTGCGGTGTTATAACACCAACGGCAAGGGTTCAGTTCCTTCTATGGGCCAGCCGCCAAAATAATTTTTTAAAAATACAACAACAAAATTTTTTTTTAAAAACGTAAAAGTGGACTTGTTGCCTGAGACAGTCCCCTCCTGGCCCCAGGTCAGCACACGCTCAGGGGACATCTGGGTATAGATAATACTATAGACTTATTTTCTTTGCCAAGAGTGTAATGAAGTTGGAAAATGAAACCCATTCTGTCCTAAACCTTCTCTCTACTTCTTTTTTTTCAAGGAACATGCCTTTGAGAGCAGTCAGAAATATAAGGAAGGAAAATTTATTATTGAGCTTGCCCACATGATCAAAGACAATGGTTGGGAGTAAAGTGAAAGCTTCCCACTCTCCTTTGAATGTCCTTCTGTGAAAGAGACTGTGAGTGTGATGGCCATGGAGGAGCATCCTGATGACGCTCTGTTTCTTGAACTTCAACCTCTCAGGCTGGTCCCCTGCTTAGCTCTTGACACTCGAAGGCCTCACGGCCATTTCCCTGGGTAAGGCGTCCCCTCTGATCTGTGTCTTCTTCGTGAACATGTTGTTTCTGAAAATTTTCAATATTCTTTTTCTACTCAAGATCTAGAGAAAGAATTAGACAACTGATGACTTCTTCACCTAGTTCATACCTTCTTTTGACCTCTGCCTTCCACATCGTGTGGCTGTGCTTTTTCATGTTCGATAGAAAACCAAGCCAAGTCTCCAAAGACCGTAGGGACTGGGTCTCTGTAGAGAGCAGGCCTTGCCTCTCCTTTTTTAGAGTAAATGTATTGTAGCCCCCCTTTTTTTTCTAATTTGCAAAACTGCAAATTGATTATTCCTTTTATAGATGAACTGTTAAGGCATAGTGCTCACTTAAGAATATTCTAGGTTATCTCACTTGGTTAGAGCGCAGGCTCATAACCCCAAGGTCACAGGTTTGGATCCTCGTACTGGCCAGTCACACACACACAAAAAAGAATCTTCCAGAAGCAGTCAACAAACTTATACACCAAGGGTATTGGGGTTTTTTTTAGCCTGTTCAAAAACAGATGACATCACTGATAAGATTTTAGATAAGGTATAAATAGAGAAATGAGTCAAATTGTAACATCTTGTTTGTTTTTGGTGGCTGCCTGGTAGGGGGATCCGAACCCGTGACCTTGGTGTTATAAGGCTGTGCTCTAACCAACTGAGTTAACTGGCCAGCCAGAACATCTTGTTTAAGCCAATAGATTAACTAGAAAGCCAGTGAACTAGTCATTAGAGAAGACTGTCCCAGGGGCCTGCAGAGGCAGGGTTACTGAGGCAACAGCCTCGCAGGGTCTGGTACTGGGGGTAGCACCCTCATCAGTCACAGCAGCCTGTGTGTCAGGTAGTCACAGAGTGGCTGGTCCATGTAGTTACAGAGTAACACAGGACTGAGTAAAAGTCAGATTTCATTTTCTACCCTGACGTACTTGAAGAAAAAGAATTACTTTCTAATATGAAAGAGGCCAGACCCAACTGAAAAGACTTCAAAACTTGAGATTTGCAAGATTGTTTAAGGTATTTTCAGGAAAGGCTAAAGTTGCGAGACAGGTTTAAACTTTGTAAATGAAGATGTTTGGTTTGCTGGCAGTGTCGCACCTTGCTGCCTGGTATCATCACATGGACTGACACAGAGGGGACCTGTGTAGTCTCCCAGGTCCTGTGTGCCTGCCCATCCACCTGGGCCTCTGCAGGGCACTATGCAAGCGTTTGGCCAATTTGCAGAGAATGGAGACCAAAAGCCATTCCCAGATAAGTTTTGGCTTTCAATGTTTTGTAACCTGACTCAGGGCAGAAGGGCAGGAAAAGGGCCTAGGGAAGATGGGAAGCAGGGAGATAGGAGAGCAGTGTGCAGATATTTCTCAGTCTGGCGATGGCTCTGAAACTGCCTTCATACAAGGCTAGCTAGTGGCAGCAAGTGCAAGCTGGCTGAGGACAGTAAGAAAATGTCCCATACAGCTTTTGATACCCCTCCCTGACTCCAACCCTCTCCGGCTCCCTGCCAACCCACACCCCCTGGCTGCCACAGGCTCTGGCTCACTGCTCCTTCTATAGCGTACCTTCTGGTACCATCTCCTTGCCTGAGGCTCACAGCCTTGGAACATGGGGAATGCCACTGCCGTGAGCCCAGGGGCCTGGTGGGCACATCTCTGAGACACATCAGCTCAGCTGTGGCAGAAGCTACTTTAAGCACATCTACAACCTAGAAATTTTCCCTAGAAAGGAAGGAAATCTTTGCACAATTCGGCAAGCCTGTGTGTTTGGCTGTGGCCCCGCAGGCTGCTTTCTCCCAGAGCTAGTTGCCCCTGCACACCGAGGCTGCCCAGCTCACTCCGCTGTCCCTAGGTCGGTGCAGCTGTCCATCCGGACGCCTTCCTGAGCATCCAGCCACTCCCCACGACAGGGGCCCGGCTGCTGTGATGTGAAATCTGAAGGTGCTTCATTCATGAGCTGGCACGTAAGGTAGCCCTGTCTGTGGCTTCAGTCCATTGTCTGAAACCGTGAAGGGGCTAAAAGACGCCTTTCTTGATGGGGGATAAGTACTAGTGGCTGAAAACGTAGCTAAAACCAACCCTTCCCTTCCAGTCGTCATTCCTCTTACAAGTGGGGACTTGGCCTTGGAGGCTCCCAGAGGACATGGGGAGATGGTTGGGGGCTCATGCTGTCACCAACCTGCTGGGGCAGCCCAGCTGGAGGGCAGCCCAGCTCCTAGGCATGTCTCCAGAAGATGCTTCACTTAAATGGAAGAGAGAATCTTCTGAAATTCTTCTGACCAACTTTTGTATATACTAAAATTATATTTAAAGCTTTTATATGTTCTGGGCAAGTTTACTGCTCCTTCAATTTGAGCACTTTGGTTTTTGTATTGTCTTTTGTGATGGCATTGATTGAAAAATTTTTACTAGTACTTTTTTTGTATTTTTTTGGTAACTGATACCAGCAAAACTTCTATCACTTTTTTCGTTGGTTTTCTGCAAAATACAAGCTCTTTTTAAACCAAATGAACTGACCATGAGCTGGCTTCCAGGGATGTGATATTCACAGTACCATAACCAGATGTGCTGGTAAAGTGCTGGACTGTTCCACCCTCTTAAATTCCTAAATAAATATCATCCCGTGACTTCTATTTAAATTATTTTTTATTTATTTTTATTTTTTATTTTAAATAGCAGGAGGGGATGCCAGGATTTGTAGATGCATTTGACATAATGGAGTGTCTCTGGCACCGTACATTTGCTTTAGAAATGTGGTTTAGTTTTGTTGCCATTTTATACAGTATTTTTATACCTCAACACTCTCATGCTTGATGGCATCTGCCAGATACTAAAAAGGACCAGAAATGAGAATTTTTCCATAAGTCCTTTAATTTATCTGATGACTTCATCAGGTAATTACAAAATCCAAGTGGTTTTAACATCTAGAAAACTAAAATTTAAGCTCTAAAACGAACTACAGAAATGTGAACCCTCACTTGTAAACAGCCCCCGGCGGGCCTGTCCTCTGCCCGGTGGGGGTGGGGGCGGAGGCAAGTGGGTGAGGCTGTGTGGCCCATCCCTCAGGGCAGGTGCAGGCTACTGGGTAAGGCTGGACTGCCAGACAGCGACCTGGGGACAGCCAGAAGCTTTGCCTTAAGGAACAGGACCACCAAGCTCGAGCACACGCCACCTTCAGCCTCCTCTGGCCGTGCTGCCAGCCCTTGGTCCTATGTCTGTGTGAGGTTTACAAATAAAGCCTCCAATGTCAAACATCTCCTTTTAAATTGTGCTCGTTGTCAACAGGCTGAGCCCTGGTTTACTGCAGCACCCACTGGGACCAAAGGGCTGTTGGGTCTCGGCGCTCCTCCAGGGTCTGGGGGCTGCTGCAGTCCTGCTTCTCCAAGCTCACTGCCTGGTCGGGGGCTTCGTGTGTGGCCGGAGAAAAGCGTAATTACAGTTAGGGAAACTGCACCTCTACCCATCCTGACGTGCTGGCCATCCCTCCCCTGGGGTCATGGCCTCTCTGGCACACGCCCTGTGCCCTCCTGGGTGCTGGCTTGGGCCTGCAGGTTCAGGTTCACCTAGGCGCTCACCATGACCCCTAAGCCCCCACCTGCTTTTACACATGTGAGTTATCAGGCAGCAGCTGGACAAGAAGGGACTGGGGACAGCCTGGAGGAGGGCAAGGGGGTGAGGGAGGGGATTAGAAGGCCATTCTAGAGCCAGAGCCCTGCTCACAGAAGGGGCAGCTGCAGAGGGACAGGCTGGGGAGGAGGTGTCAGTGACTGGTGCAAGGCAAGATGACAGTGGGCAGAGCTGTGTCACGAAGGTCCCTGGGCAGTGCGTGGAGGTGGGCGAGGGGCATGGGCGGGGCAGGGAGGCTCTGCCTGCCATCCAGGGAGCCAGGGCTTGGCCTGCAGCTTCAGCATCAGAGATGGGAAAAGAGAACAACCAAGGATCAAGCTTAAGTCCGGTCCTGAGAGCCCCAGCAAGGGGTGGTGGAAATGGCTTTTGAAAGTAACACTAAGACTGGAGTCCAGGGTCCTCAACCTCCAGTTCCATCAGAACCCCTGAGGGTTGTCGCATCACATCCCGAGGAGCCCCAGCCCCCGGAGGCTCCAGTTCAGGTCTGGGCTCTGCAAATCCGTATCTCTAACAAGGTACCAGGTGATAGTGCTGGTCAGGGACCCATGCTGAGTAAACAGGCTGTCCCTAAGATGACGGAAGAGGGATTAAGAAAACCAGATGGGGACCCGATCCCTCCTCACTGTCCCGGCCTGCCCACTGGAGGCCTGCACCTCAGGTTTGGTCTAGGGCCAGACCCTGTGCTGGAGGTCCAAGAAGTGGGCTCTGGCTGGGCCCATGCCTTGGAAACAGGGCCTGGCCACTTGGCACCAGGTAAGGAATAAGGAGGCTGTGGGCTCCCAGGGGCCAGGAAAGGGGACCCAGGCAACAGGCAAGAGCTTTATTGGATCACAGCCTGCAGGGTAGGCTTATGAAGGCAGAAAACTCAGGGCCCCGCAGCCCTGCATCCGTACCAGGATCTAGAGCATCTGGCCTGTTGCTACCAGGAGCTGAAGTCCCCAAAACCTCGGCTGGGCTTTTTGGCCACAGGGGCGGCTGTACTGGTTGATGGTTCTTCCTCTTTTACTCGTTTCCTGGAAAGAGAACCAGATTCCAGCTGCCGGGCAGGCATCAGGCCCCAAGCTGGGAGCCCACACCCCGAAGTGCTGCAGTCTTCACATATCCCACATCTACACACGGCCCCCCAAATACATATCACTGCTCCCCTGTCCCCTAAATCTTGGTCTCTGTGCACAGGTGCAGATCCCTTTGGCTGCAGTGGCCCCCAGGACACACAGTCACTGCTTGAGTCTAGTGCACGTGGCTTTCACCCCCACCAGGTTCTGACTCAGGGCCATCAGTAGGTCCTTGTAGAGCACTGTTAGATGGGTCCCTGCCTTTTGGAGGGACACATGGGAGAGGCCAGCCCCATCCCACTCACGTGGTGGCCGGGTTGATGTACTTGCCCACCCCCTGGCGGTACGTCTGGGGGCCCTGGCTCCCCGGCTGGGGCTGACTGGTCTTCACTTTGTCCTCCAGGGCCACCTCGAGCTGCGTCTTCTTCCGCTGCTCGGCAATCTGTGGCAGAGCAGGGCCGTGGCTGACCAGGAGCCTCAGGTGGGGACGGACCCTGGGTTTGGGGGTGTGAGGGCCCCTCCTGCCCCAGCAAGGAAGGACTTGCCTGGAGCCCTCCCCAGGGGCAGCCCCACGTCTCCCTCACCTGAGCATCGGCCTCCTCATAAGGGTCCACAAACACCGTGGTGGCGTCGATGCGGATCTCCTCCTGCCAGCGGAAGGGGGCTGAGGGCCGGCGCCAGCAGGCTCCTCCCTCCCGCCCACCCAGCGCCAACTTGGCAGTGGTCCCTCTGGTCTCCCTGGGCACATACCTTAGGGCGATCAGTTTTGGGGTCACTTTCCACATTCTCCATGGATGTCAGCGTGTCAAAGCCCCCAACAACCCTGCAGCAGAGGGATGGAGGCGGGTCTGCACGTGCCCAGGCAGGATATCCCACAAGGGCCACACAGTCAGATGGGCCGGCAGGGCTCGGGCAGCAACTTAGCTGCGAGCCAGGATGGGCCACAGGAGAAATGAGGGGGGCCAGGAGACCACAGCCCTGGCCAAACCCAGTTCCCTGCTGCCTGGTTTTGTAAATCAAGTTTTATTGGACAGAACCCCACCCGCTTGCTTCCATGCTGTCTATTCTGTTTCATGCTGCACCAAAGAGTACTTGTCACAGAGACCGTGTGGCCCACAAAACTGGAAATACCACCTGGGCCTTTACAGGAAAAGTCTGCCAACCCCTGGACTAAGGGACCAAGAGCAAGACAAGATGTGGCCCAGACTTCCGATTCGGGCACTATCAAAGTGCCCAGAGGTGGGGGGCGTGAGTCGGACAGGGCAGCTGGCCCAAGCTTCCCCCTCTCCTTAGCCCGGCAGGTCTGGAGAGCCAAGCCACCCGGGCCGATGGGGCCTGCCCTCGCAGCTGCTCTGGAGCAGTCTGGGATGGGAGGGAGGGGCAAGTGGGAAACCAGAACCCAGCCCTGCCCCATCGAGGGACTAGGTAGAGGACCAAGGCTGGGAACCGGGAGAAAGGAGGAGATGAAGCAAGGATGGAAACAAGGAACCGTGGGTAACTGAACGGGCACAGACCAAGAAAATGTCATGTCTAATTTGGCATCAAAAGGGGGTGAAATTAAAATACCCGATGACACCAACGTGGAGGACGGGCGGGTGGCTGGGAGGAAAGCCTTTGACAGACAGGGCTTGTCTGGGAGGAAAGTTGAGACGTTACCTAGTTGCTCAAGACTTTAAACAGATGCACTTCTTGACTTAAACATCTGACTTCCAAACCAGGAGAAAGAGAAGAGGAGGAAATGAAAAGAAATATTAAAAAGGATGACTAGAAAGCACAGAGGAGGGGGCCGGGAAGCAGTTCCCTGACCGGAAGGTTAAGTGCGCACTTCCGACTGTCAGGATGAATTAAAACAACCAAAATGCAGGCATGTCCCTAAAGAGACAGCCCTAGAATGCGACAATCTGAAAGGCTGAAAGTGAAAGGAGGGAAGGAGACAGTGTACAAGAGATGAAGGCAAAAAGCGACCTGGGATGTGTCACAGTGAACAAGAGCAGGAAGCCAATCCCCGGAGAGGGGAGGGCGGCACCCTTGTCCCCAACAGCCTGCACAGACTCGCTGGTGAGAGACACAGGACACAACCACCAAGTGCATGGAACACGCATCACCCAGCCAACTGGGGACACACTCCTGAAATCACCAGGTCGAACCACACACGAGGCCACCAGGCGAGTCTCCACAGATGTCAACCCTGCAACAGTGCAGACCTGAACTCTGACCTGCAAGTGGTGCTCTCTCTTGCTAGTTGCTAACACAGTTAAGGAAGCCAGAAAGAGAATAAAATAAAACTGAAGAAAATAGGAAGGAAAGAACAATGAAGGGGAAAACAAAGATGTGACAGAAATTAAAGTCTGAAGTTCCTTAAAAAGACTGAAATAAGCAAACCTTTGGCAAGAATTGTCAGAGAAAGTACAAAACAATATCAGGGGAAAAAAAAAAAACACGCGACTGATCTACCAGCAGTTTTATAAGCTAGTTAAGCTGAAGAGTTAATATATAATAAAGTGACCCACCCCCAAACAGCAGCAAAAACAAACCACGTGCCCGAACTACATGGAAATCAGAAACAGTCCTAGACCATTCCTGGCTAAGAAGTTAGAGGGGAAACTAGAAACAACCAGCAAGCCATGGAAAGGGATGTGCACCTTCAACAGCTGCCGACCCAACTATCTTCTATGGCCAAGAGCAAGACATGAGATTAAGAAAGTGGAGAGACCCCAAGGTCAAGTGTTTGGATCCCCATACCGGCAGCTGCGAAAAAAAAAAAGTGGAGAGAGAACAGATACCGGGAAGAGCAATTAAAGAGAGACACGGAACACATCACACAGAAGGTAAAAACTGGTAAGCCCCACAGAAAGCACTGAGCTAAACAAGAAATGCAAGCGCCATGAGGAAAGAGGCAGGAGGCGTGAGCTTGGACAGAGCAACAAGGAGAGCACGTGCCGTCCTTGGCCAGCTGCTAACAGCTGACTTCAGTGTAATCTTAACTAGAAGGCCACAGCTGGCGCAGCTCCCAGCACACGGTGGGCGCGCCCCTCAACCAAAACCTGATGGAGCCAGTCCACAGCCGGCAGAGTGAGCCACAAAGCAGCGGCAGGCCAGGGTTTACTCCAAGAATGCCAAGTTGGAAAGGCCAGGCTACTCGGTGGCTGCATCCACAAATTCCAGGAGGATAAGCAAAGCGTATGATCGTCATAACAAATGCTAAGAAAAAGCCTCTGGAAATTCAGCCACCTCTTCTGGAAATTCAGCCACCTCTTCTAAAATATAGGCCCAGCGACAAATGTCATCAGATGGCAGAACAGCACTCACTTAGGAAGGCAGAAGTGGCCACTTTGCTGCTTCCTAACACGCCTGCCAGTGTCATGACCCGACTGATGTGCACACCAGGGGAGTGGAGAGGAGGCCACATTTCACTGGCAAGCTTGAGCCTCTAGAAAACCCAAGAAACTTATAAAACTACCTGAATTATAAGATAATTTGATAAAGTGGCTAGTTATAATAATATATATATATAATATATAATAAAAATTTTTCTTTACATGAGCAATAATCCCCTAAAAGTGGGCAGAAAAAATCCATTTACAAAAATATTACAAATTATAAAATTCTATATATAATATATAATAAAAATTTTTCTTTACATGAGCAATAATCCCCTAAAAGTGGGCAGGAAAAAATCCATTTACAAAAATATTACAAATTATAAAATTCTTTTTTTTTTTTTTAAAAGATGACCGGTAAGGGGATCTTTACCCTTGACTTGGTGTTGTCAGCACCACGCTCACCCAAGTGAGCCACAGGCTGGCCCCAAATTATAAAATTCTTAAGGAGTAGCTTTATCTAGAAAGGCAGAGGACCCATGTCAAGAAAACCATAAAATCAGGGCTGGCCATTAGCTCACTTAGGAGGGCATGGTGCTGGTAACACAAGATCACAGGTTCAGATCCACATACCGGCCAGCCACCAAAAACAAAACAGAAAAAAATATAAAATCACATTTTAAAAACTGTTTTTTTTTGTTTGTTTGTTTTGGCAGTTGGCCAGCATTAACAAATAAAAGACATCAGGCCAGCCCGGTGGCGCACTCGGTAGAGTGCGGCGCTTGGGAGCACGGCGGCGCTCCCACCGAGGGTTCGGATCCCATATAGAGACCGGTCTGCTCACTGGTTGAGCGCAGTGCGGGCGCGACACCGAGGGTTGCGATCCCGTTGCCGGTCATGGTACGGGTGCGACACTGAGGGTTGCGATCCCATTACCAGTCATGAAAAAAGACAAAAAGGAAAAAAACAAACAAACAAAAAACAAATAAAAGACGTATCCAAAGGGAAAGTCAAGCCACATTCTTAGACACGTCTATCCTTCTGAAACACGATGCCTGGCCTTCCTGCCACAGTGGCGCTCCCCACCTGCTGACACTCACCACACACCGCAGGGCCACACGCTCTGCCTTGGGCCTCCTGTGTCTTTCTGGGCACCTCCCTGCCCAGGCTGCCCCCGCACACTTTCCTCCTCCCCACGTGCTGGCCTACGAAGCTAAACTCCCCCGGCACAGCCTCCTCGCCACACACACACACTCCCCACCAGCATAGCTTCCAAGAGGCCTTTCTGGACCTCCCAGTAATGACTGGCTCTGTCCTCTCACAGCACATGCTCCGCATGCAGTTCTGCCTGTGACTTGCTCAGGGGCTCCCCATTTGAACACAGGTGACACTCAGTTGATCCAGGACCAACACACTCTTTAGGGAGAGGCCGCCAGGAAGAGCTGTGAGTCACCTCCCCAGGCCCGCCCCACAGCCAGCCCACAACCCAGACTCACAACTGAGACTTGTTGCTGTTGGGCCCCGAGTTGGCCATGCTGAGTATGCCCCGGCCCGTGTGCGAGAGGTTGGGCCGGAACTCGTCTCTGAAGGGCTTTCCCCAGTATGACTCCCCACCTGTAAAAAGAAGAGCTCAGCTGGCAGTGAGAATGACTGGGCCCAGCGGGGCCAGCCCCAGAAACCCAGTCCCAAGGGGCCTCAGGCGCTTGCTGGGCCCTGTCTGGGGCAGGAACACCTTCCAGGGCAGTTCAGGCCCTGAGGCCCCCTCAGCACCAGCTCCCCCTGGAGCTCCTGCACCTTCACACAGGTAGGCAGCAGCTCATCGTCCCAGCCTAGCATGGGGCCTGCCCCAGGACAGGGACTAAAACTCAAGGCCATAAGTCACTACCACTCGCGCTATTCTGGACTGAGGTGTGTGCCTGGGACAAGCAGCTGCCAGGCTGAGTGGGCTTTGAGAGGTAGCAAGGTGCCCCTGGGGCCCAGGGAGGACGCAGTGCATTCCCGTTCCCCTCCATGTATCCTGTGGGCCTTGCAACCTCACAACCATCTCGAAATGAGAAAACCAAGGTCCAGCCTGAGGGGCACTGCACACTGGCAGCCCGCCTGTGCTTCCACCCCTGGTCTATCAGATTCTGTGTCCGGAGCTCACTGCACAGCCCCTGCCTGCCTCCCCCTTGCCCTGCGGAGCACACCAGACCTACCCGTGCCTGTGCCTGTGGGGTCGCCCCCTTGGATCTGCGAACAGAACAAAAGCCAGTGAGCAGGTCGTATCCGAGTCCCCACTCCCCACCGCCCGCTCTGACTAAAGGACTCCCCCAACCCCCAGATGGCTCCACGAGGTCTGAGCTCATGGTGAGGACAAGGGGCCCTCCCAGGCCACCTGTCTGCATGAACCCAGTTCTGCCTGAGCCAGGGACTCACAGGCCAGCCTGCAGGTTCCCTGACAGAGGGTTCACCTACAGGACAGCCCTGCCCCCATGGCCTGGCCTGGGTGCCCGTCTGTAGCCAGTGCTGTCCCGCATCACTCACCACAAAGTTCCTGATGGATCTGTGAAAGATGGTGCCATCGTAGTAATGCTTCTTGCAAAGCTTGATGAAGTTTTCACAGGTTTTTGGTGTCTGCAAAATAGCCCAATACTTCCTGTGAGACACGTGGGAGCTCACAGCAGGGTTATAAAAACCACACGGAGCCTTCGTCACATGGCAGGCAGGCAGCTGCCTGGCCTGCAGAGCCTCGAGCCCTCAGTCTGCTCCAGCCCCACTGGATAGGGAAGGGCCCATGAAGCTAAACAACGGGCTACTGGCCACTGCGTGACTGGGGTGAGTGCTGCAGGGAGGAGGGGCAGGGCAGCGGGGTCGGCCCCTTCTCTGGGTACGTGTGCACACCAAGGGGGCGCTGTGCCGCTCACAGGGCCACTCTGGGGAGAAAGCAGGGGGCCCCATAGCTGCCTCTTGGGGACAGACTGAATTTTCTACCAGCATGTAAGAGCTGCCGCTCCCTGTCTGAGACACAGCTGTCAAGTGGAACCCACCAGGTCGCAGTGCAGCTCCAGGTTGAGGTCGCCCCTGCTGGTGTGCAGCCGCACATAGCCCTTCTTCTTAACAAACTGGTAGCGCAGCACGTCCTCATCGATGGCAGCTGCGAGCAGAAGCTCTAGCTCCACAGCCGCCCTCCACCGCATGGTGGCCCCTCCACGCCCGGCACCACTGGCCTCTGACACACAGGCTCAGCACCAGGGCACGGCCCCAGCCCTGGGCCAAGTGCAGGGTCGGAGGCCGAGGGTGCACCCTGGCCACGCAGGCTCGCCTGGCCCCATGGGGCAGTGGCTGGCAGTTAAGGGAGGAAGCTGGGAACACCTGGACACAGGCTGGGGTGGGGAGCATGGGAGTGGAAGGACTTGGGGCTCAGGTAACAGTGGGAGCCACTGACAAGCCTAGGCACGTGCCCACAAAACCACCAAGGCGGGGACCACAGCAGCACGACAGGGAGGAGCCTCCTGGCCCAGGCCTGGTACTCATCACACACACCCCAACACGAATCCCACCTTCCAAGAGGTCCTGTCTCCACACTCCCACTCCTGATCGCCTGAGAGACCATGCAGTGCAAGCACGACTGAGCAAGGCTGAGGAGGGCAGGCGGGGAGGAGGGCATCCACCCTCTGCCACCATTAAGTCGCACCGCTGGTGACTGGAGAGTCAAAGGCAGCTACCTGCTTCGTGCGTGGTCTCTGGAACCATGGCTGTGGAAGTGAAGGAGGCACTGACCTTCCCCGTGGAATAGTGCGCCTGTCGAGAAAACCATGGTGGCAGGTTAGCACCTGGCCCTGGGAGGCCACGGATGCAGGCACCGCCTGGAAGCCAGTCACATGCCACCACTGCCGCCACTGCCACCCAGGCCTTGCAGAGAGCCCCTCCTCCAGGAAGACTTCCCTGACTACTGCCCATGGGGCCAGCAGAGCGGCCCAGCCCACAGCGGCTCCCCTCTGAGGGCCTACAGCTGCGAGCCACAGGACCAGAGGATGAGGGCGCAGCAATGGCAGCAGGAGGACACCAAGGCAGGGCCACAGTGGGGGGGGGAGGGGCCACGGGGGAGCCAGGGCCTCAGCTGGCACTGACTCTCATGTTGTTACATCAAACCCTGGAAAAGAAATACCCCACAGGACTGGCTCCCTCCAGGACTGGGGTAGGAGTGACTTTGTGTTTCTTTTTAAAGGTTCCAAATTTTCTACAGTAAATATATTAACTCTTTAATTGGGAACAAAAAGCCCCAATAAATGTTATTTTTAAAATCCTACATAAAGAGAAAAAAGAAGGCTTTCTCCCCATCAGAAGAAAATACACCAAAGCACTAAGGGCGGCTGTGGTAGAGTGGGGGGCTGCAGACAGCAGCCTTTCTTCTTTACACTTTCCAGGGCTGGCTGCTCAGCTCACGCGGGAGAGCGTGGTGCTACTAACACTAATGTCATGGATTCAGATCCCACACCAGACAGCCGCCAAAAAAAAAAATTCCGGATTTTCCTGGATAATTCCCCTGGGCTCCAGCGCACCAGGCTCTGTACAATAGGAGTAGCTCTTCAGCCCAACAAAGGCAGACACAAATCCCACACTATGGCTCAGGGAACCACTGTCCCCCTCAGCATCACAACAGTCCCTGAAATACCCACCATCTCTCTCTGGATCTGCTCTGGGCATCGTGTGGCCAGTGCCTGTGCACCCAGGGAGCCACGCCCTCCTGGCTACTATGGAATCACATGTCCTGGGGCTGCTGTGTCACAAGGGACAGAAGCAGCTTCCAGATCCACTGGAGCCTCTGGGCAGCTGTCCACCCAACCCATCTGCTCCTGGCTCGGGCTGAAAACAAGAGTACAGGACAGACCTTCCACAGCTGGGGCCACCACCCGATCTTCAACGCCAGTGAGGATGTCTGTACCACCCCCACCACCTTCTTGGAGCCATCGTGGGGGAGCCCTGAGGCCTGGGGATCCAGGGCCCCTGAGGGCGCCACAGCTCTGGAGGGGGTCCAGGCCCCAAGCCCCACCTCCAGCACCATTCCTCAGGGCTCCACTCACGGCATTCAGTTTGTCCACTTTCTTCTTCTCTGGCACTTTCATGGTGGCCGCCAGAATCTCATCTCCTTTGAACTCTTTGTAGAGCTCCTGCAGGGTCTCGCGAGTCTCAGCGTTTGTGTTTTTCAAATAATAAGACGGGTCCTGTTTGGCCTTTTCTTCATCTACAAAACAGCACCGTGGTCTAAGCAGCTGTGCCCTAGCAGTGTCCCCAGACACAAGTGATGGGGACAGAGATCCAGAGCCAATGGCAACAGCAAAAGCTGCAGGCGGTGATGCCAGGGCCGCCCAGCCACACGTGGGCCCCATGCTGCTACCATGTCACAGTAGCACTGGTGGACACAGCAAAGCTGGGTGCCCAGGGCACACAGCACCATGTGCCTGGCCACAGGCCAAGAGGGGTCTCCCCAGGCAGTTAACAGGGATGGGGGGCTTTGGGTCGACTTCTATTTTTTCCTTATATTTATGTGTATATTTCAATCTTTTTATAGTAGAGGTTTTGCTTTTGTAATTTTAAAAGTTATTCTTATTTACAATAATAGAAGCAAAAAATAAAAGATAAAAAAATAAAATAATAGAAGCATTTAGCATCTTTAGGGATGTGAAGTGGCCAATCCATGCCATTCTGAGGGGCGTGTGCTGCCTGCTGGCTGAGGGCACAGCGCACCCTATGGAGCACGGTCAGCAGCCCCCCAGCACGGGCACAGTGGGCCCCAGTCCCTGGCCTCTGGGTCTTCCGAGCTTTGATGTCCCTGATCGTGTGCTCAGCCTACATATGTTCTAAGTAGTCCATACGACATGTATCACCAAGTGCCTGGGACACTGGCATCTGCAGCACCGAGGCCAACTGATCTCTGAGCATGAGGACCCACTTTCACCCTGCAACGTGCTCAGCAATGTGCCCACTGATCCGGAGTGAGCAGAGGGACCAAGGGCCCAGCTGGCCACGGGACTTAGGCCTGACCTAAGCCAGAGCCTCCTTCCAGGGACACCTCCATCAGTGAACCTGGACAGAGAGAGGAATCCAGAAAGAGATTCCCGAGGAAAAGGAAGTGAGATATCCTGGCAGGGTGGCTAGTGTCGCCTATCGGTGTTTCCATGCTGCAGTCAGCTCTGATTGTCTGAACATCTGAAGGAAATCCAGGGCCCTCTGGCTTGAGCCAGATCCCTGGACTCCCTGGCCCCAGGCAGGCAGGGGCTTGGCCCAGGGAGTACGGCTAGTTTCTCCCAAACCCCTCGCACCCAGCCCAGCTCCTGACTGCACATACCTGGGTCTGTTACTCTCATGTTATTTTTAACATGAAAGAAGTTGGAGACATTGAACTTGTCCAAATTGGTGGGGTCCTGCAGCAAAAAGGAAATGCCCAGCAGAATGAACCCAGCACTACAGCCAGGCCCCCAGCCTGCGGCCGCACAGCTCCCACACATGGCAAAGGACAGGCAGGTGTGGGGGATGGAGGGGGCAGGGGAGAGGCCAGTGGCTGCACTGAAGCCTGTAGGGCGAGTAGGGAAGAGGGGCAGGGGCTCCACCCCAGGCAACAAACAGGGGTGGGGTGGGGATGAAGGCACAGACTGGCTAGCTGCTCTCCAAACTGTGTCCCCTCCCTCCAGGGAACACAGCTAAGGATCATCCCTTGCTGTTAGGAAGCCAGGGATGGCCTGAGTTTTGGCCGAGGGAAAATGGGCAGCTGTGGGGCCACCCTCCGATGAGAATGGGAGAAGCACAGAGGGGACTGGTTGTTCCTGCAAGCCGGCCCAGGCCACACGCGGCTCCATCCGGGCAGCCTCCTGCTTTCCTAGGTTGTTTTTCATCAATTCAGTCAGAGTCCTCCGACAGATTCTGGGGCACACAGTACATGCCAGCTCCTGCCCTTGAGACAGCCGCAGCAGATCCAGCCTGTGCAGCAGCCATTCTGATGCCCTCATATGGCTTTGGGGGCAGACATGAGGGGCCCTGACATGCGAGGGCATCAGAGGAGGAGCCGTGAGAGTCAGACTGGGGCAGCGGCCTGGGCCAAGGCCCAGGCGACCGAGAGCAGGAGGACCAGAGGTTGGGAGCATGAAGGGCAACTGGGGAACCACAGCTGGCCAGGGTCACAGGAGAGAAGACCACCGAGCCTGGCGTGAAGCAGTGGGTAGGCAGGGGGAGCTGACTGAACGTTCTGGGTGGTCCTTCCCATGAGAAGGGGACACTCACCTGGAGGGTGATAATGTCCTGCCGGGAGAAGGGCTCGTCAGTCAGCAGGTCTCGGAAGTTCTTGGCCTTGATGTTTAGCTGCTCCACAGCCTGCAGCCGGGAGGTAGTGTGGAGTTACAGTGCCGCAGGGAGGCCTGGAGCCAGCCCAGACTGAGTGCCATTTCAGAGGTGGGGAAACGGCGGAGACCACCCTGCACACGCCACAGGCTGGCAGGGGTGGCCCCTCGGTGACAAGCACAGCTTGCTGAGCCCTACAGTGAGCCAGACCCAACCCTTTCAGCAAAACTCCCCGTGGGACGCTCTCGTGGCACACATTTTACAGATCAGCAAAGAGATTCAGGAAGGCCACCCACCCAGCCACTCCCCTCTTTACTGAGCACCTCCCAGGTACCAGGGGCTAGGCCAGGGGCAGGCATGAGCAAACCCACAAGACACCTGCTCCAAAGCCCATCAGGGTGTGCTTCAGGCAAGCAGCAGCCTCCAGAGCCCTGGGGTAGTACTGGCCACCCAGGCCCTGCAAACGTGCAGGTGTAGGAAAGAAAACAGCAGCAAGGAAGGCTCTCCTTCACTGTGGGGCCTGCTGCCTGCCCTCCCCTGAGCAGGAGAACACTCCTCTCCTCCTACACCCACTCCCAGCCAGAATCCTCCTACCAGCCCAGATCCACTCCTTCCTGGGGACAGCTCCCTCCAGGACAGTGCTTGGCCTGGCCTGCTCCAGGGCTCAGCACTCCCCTTGAAGCCCTGGGGCCTGTCCTTAGAGCACAGGTTCCCTCCCCAGGGCTGGTCTCTGCTGAAGACATGGGGAGGACCCTCTGGGGTACAAGGACCCTAGCTTGGCAGCCAGAACTGCCTGGATTTCAGGTCCAGAGGTGACAAGAAACACACACCCCCTTTCCTGACCTATCTGAAAGAAGGCTGCCCAGGCTGAGCTTCTGCAGGATGCCCTGTGCTGGTGGCTGTGACTGTAAACTCCATGAGGACAGGCCATGTCCGCCGTGCTCAGCCCACCCCCAGCACCTGGCCAGCAGGTGCCTCCCCAGGGCACACTCCCAAGGGCCTCCATCCACACACTCCCCACACCCTCCAAGGCGACCACCCACCTCGTAGGCATAGACGTTACCAGTTGTCCTAATGGCCACGATGTGTGTGTTGTCGGTGAACACAGTGAACAGCACCGGGCAGTGGTATTTCTCTAGAGAGAAGGCACGCACAGAGAGGCCAGTCACCCCCACTGGCTTTGAACTTTCCAGTGAAGACCACTGGGGCCAGGCCAGGAGAGAACTCAGGCCCCAGGTCAGAGAAAGAGAGGAGGTGGAAGCCCACATCAGCTGCCCAGAGCGGGCAACCAGAGGCGGGCAGCTGCTTACCCGCCCCCCCATTACCATCAGGAAACTCCTATTCATCCCGGGACACACTGTGCTTTTTCTCTGAGTTCACTCATTCGTTCACCTGCGAACCCAGCACTGACTGGGCCAGACTCTGGGGTCAGACAGGGAGGCAGAATGGCCCAGCCTCACATGCTTTCAGCATCTCCCTGCAACACATGCACCCAGTAAGCACAGACAACCACCTAAACCAGGCATCTGCACGGGCAAAAGGAGACCTGGGCCAAGCCCACAAAGAACCTGGAGCAAGATCAGCACCCAGAGTGGGGCTGGGTGGGCAGGTCACTTCAGCTCAGATGTGTGGCCAGGAGTACAGCACAGGGCGTTAGGGACATAAAGTAGGAGGGCCACAGCGCTGGGCTGGGGCTTAATGAGTAGTGATGCGGGGAAGCCCTGTCCAAGAGCCACCTGGCAAGTCCCTCCAGGCCATTACGCCTATGCCTGGCTGCCCACCCCAGGTCTCAGCCTGATCAAATTCTGCCTCCAGCAATGAACAGACTGCAGCTTCAGCCAGATATGGCCTGTACCCCTCAGAACCTGACTGTGCTCACAAAGGCCACTAGCAGCTCACAATGGCCTGATTGCCCTTGTGGGAAAAAGAGCCTAGCACCCAAGACTGTACCCCAACCCACCCCACCTCAAAACTATCTGGACCTTTAAGAAGAAATCAAATGACATCTTCTGAGAAACTAAAAGCAAGTGTCCAGCTGGATCAGAAGGGATTGACTGATTGTGTACAAGACCTTGGTGAGAGCAGGAACCCCGGATTCTGCCAGCCATGCCTCGAGCTGGCTGTGATAGGATAACTCACCTTCACTGTTCTTGGCAAAGTTCAGCTTGATCAGGGACCTCCCGTCTAGTTTCTGGAAGAAGCATAATAATAACAATAACGACTAAGTGACTGATGTAAAGAGATGCTGAGGTTGTGAAACTGGGTGAAAGAGAGAGACTAGAAAGGACTCTGACCAGCCAATCCTTTGCAGCTACAGACAACAGGTAAAGCCACAGGGGTGACCTGGGGAGGCCCCAGGACACAGGATGAGCTGGAAAGAGGCTGCAGAACGGTGCACTGTTACACTGTTATTAGGAGTATAAAATGATGTGGCTGCTTGGAGGGTGATTTGTCAGTAGCTACCACAACTGAGACTGAAAATGCACCCAACCAGTGACCCAGCAGTCCCAGAAGGATATCCTGCGTGCCCAAAGGACATTCTCTGCACATCTGTTTGTAATAGCAAATGACTCAAAATCCAGCACAGCACACGCGCAGAGAAGGACATGCGCAGCCATCGCAGAGTAAGGCAGTGTCCTCTGTGCATACACATTCACGCGGACATTTGTGACACAGTGCAGGAGCCCAAAGCAAGGAAAAGAAAGGCTCACGCACTAGGATAGCATCTGCTGCCCAAGAAAAGCCATATACACGTGTACATTCGTGTGCCTGCAGGAGACATATCCAGAGAGTGCTCCATGAATGGGTCTCTACCACTTGCGTGTACATGAAAACCACCAGAGCAAAAGCACAGGAGGACGGTGTGCCAGCATCACCCACACTCCTGCACAGCCACCCACCTCTCCATTGCTGGGGTTGGTCCCGTACTTCTTAAGCCATGGCACGATGTTCCTGGAGGGAAGAGAGAACAGAAAGCATCACCAGGGTGGTTGGGCACCACTAGGTGACAGCCACACAGTCCTGAAGAGCTGCTTCCAGGTAAGAGGCCTGTGAATGGGTTTCACTTCACTTTAGGAGAGGAAGAGCTCCTTGCTGCCTCAAAGGAAGTGGAGGAATATTTGTGGACACGTGAGTTCCAAAATATGTTCAGAGTTTTATTATAGCTACGTATAAACAACAAAAACTATAACTAGCAAAAACAGGTATAAATAAACGTGGATATGTCTGTGCAATGAAATACTGTGCAGGGCTGGCCGGTTAGCTCACTTGGTTAGAGCTGGTGCCGATAACACCAAGGTCAAGGGTTTGGATCCCCTTACTACCAGCCACCAAAAAAAGAAAAAGAAAGGAAGGAAGTACAGAGTAAGCATCAAAAATTATAGTTTCAGAGACTTCTGAGTCACAGGGAGGAGAAAGCCTCATTATAACTGAGTGAAAAATGGACTCAGAACTATCTTCACAGTGTTATCTCAACCATGTTCCTACAAATAAACTCACAGAATTAAGAGGAGTATATTTACAGTGGTTATCCTGGATAGTGGGATTATGGTAAAATTTTCTTTTTTTCTTTGAAACATTTTCCAAATATTCTAAAATGAGCATGAAACATGAAAAAAATTCTAGAAGCTGGCTTATGCTGGAACATAAAACAGCATAATGCTTCAAAATACAGCACTGGGGGCCGGCCCGGTGGCGCACTCAGTAGAGTGTGGCGCTTGGGAGCGTGGCGCGCTCCCGCCGAGGGTTCGGATCCCATATAGAGACCGGTCCGCTCACTGGTTGAGCATGGTGCAGGCGTGACACTGAGGGTTGCGATCCCGTTGCCGGTCGCGGTGCGGGCGTGACACTGAGGGTTGCAATCCCGTTACCGGTCACGAAAAAAGACAAAAAGGAAAAAAAAAAATACAGCACTGGGAAAGTATGCACCTAACTACGGCTCTGAGTGAAAAATACTCGGCTCAGGGCCGACCTGCAGCTCACTCGGGAGAGTGTGGTGCTGATAACACCAAGGCCACGGGTTCAGATCCCTATATAGGGATGGCTGGTTGGCTCACTCAGGAGAGCGTGGTGCTGACAACACCAAGTCAAGGGTTAAGATCCCCTTACCAGTCATCTTTAAAAAAAAAAAGAAAAGAAAAAGAAAAATACTCAGCTCATTAACATTCCAAAACAGGTTCAGCTGTGCCAATTAGAACACTAGGACCTCCCACGTGGGGGTGAGGCAGGGGTCAAATTCATTCCAGGCAGTGACAGTAGCACCTGCCAGTCACAGCTGCCTGACTGGGAGCCACAGAAGCCCTCCTGCCACTTCCCTGAGGCCTTGGCTGTCCCACCTGGGTTCCCCCAAGAGGCCCCCCGCAGGGCTCCCAAAGCTGCTGAGACCAGGGGTTTGGCAACCTCAGCGTTGCCTGGTTCAGCAATACTGGAGCCACAAACCCTTGAATTGGCCCAATATCGCCTTCCTTAGTAGGTGTCAACAATCTCACCACCTCTGTTAGATCAAAATTCAAGGGAAAACTCACAGCAAGTCAAAGACGACACCTTCAGGGGTGCAGACCGGGTAGACGAAGGGCTGCAGAGAGAGACTGAAAAAAGGACAAAGTCACTCCTGGTCAGCATTGTGATGTCTCCCTTTGGCCCTTCCTCCTTCAGTTGTTCCTTCAACAATTCCAGGGACTCCTCTGCACAGCCTGCGCTGGCTGCCAGCACCAGAGGCAACCTGATGTCCCATCCTTCAGAGGCTCCGGGTACAAACCATTAAGTCCAAGGCCGGGGTTCCAGGGCATGGCAACAGCCTGGCTTCTCTCATGCCCTCTGTGTGTCATGCAATGGTTCTGTCATCATGTTCAAGTCCAAAAGAAGTCCCTGGAGGTGGCCTCAGGAGGGCAGAACTAAAATTCACTCTCCAAAACCTCAAGCAGCAGGCAAGCCATGCTTTTCTACTGAGAGCTGCCCTCTCCCATCCCAAGAGAGTCTGATGGGGCTTTCGTGCCTTAGGGTGCCCTGCCTGCCCCTGACCACAAAGTTTAAACACAATTTCCCACATTTCCAAGGGGTGGGTGCACAACTCAGGCAAGACCCAAGTCTCTGGGAGCCCTTGCAAAGTACTGATACATAGATGTGGGGATAGAGAGAACTCCAAAGGCCCCAACCACCACAAGCCATTTCCCCCCCACAGACAGCCTGCTGAGGAAAAGCAAAGTCCACACATGAGAGCTAGTAGCCTTTTTTCTTGCATGGAGATTCTGTCACTAGCCAGCCAGAGCCCTGGGTAACCTGGCTTCTGTTTGTACATCAAACACCTACGAGTTTAGTCAGCACAGATCAGTCCCCAGGACCTGAAAAGTCTGGCAGCACTGAGGCTCTGGCCCTGCTGGGCTACCACCAGGCCTGGTGTGGTGACCTCTCAGGATGCTCGTTGCCCCAGGGAGCCCTCTCTGGCCAACCTCCTACTCTAACTGCAGCAGTAGTGGTGGTTCTGGAGGCTGACAACAAAGCAGGTTCCAGACATCATGGCAATGAACACACATCTGCTCCCCAAAGCATATTTTTCCCATAATCCAAGGTAGTTAAAAAATGGGTGAGATGCAGATCAGAGACCTCTTCGAGGAACTGGAATGATGCATGGAAGCACTTCCATCACCTCGAATCACTCGGGTAAGACCACATTCCCACGAGGCCAACGACAAACCTGGTGGGGGTGGGGAGAAATCCTTGGCCTCATTTGTTCCTCCTCTCTGAGCAGGAGCCGGGAAGCAGAAAAGTGCCCACTAAGCACTGCATGGGAGCTTCCTGGGGGCCCCTGGGCAGATGTGGGGAGGCCCTGTTGGGCTGCAGCAGCTGCACCCCCAGGCCTCCCTGCACTGTGCATGGCCCCTCTGCCCCTTTGTCATTGCACTGTGCTATCTGGCTGGCTGGCCTCAACTCAGGTGCCACAATCACCAGAAGAGCTTTGTCAGCTGTCAAGGCTCACTCTAGCTTACAGAATCAGAATTCAGGGGGATGCTATGTAGAAGCACATGTGTCCAGGACAAAGGTGACCACTGCCCAGGCTTGAAGAAACTTAGGCCCAAGGGGACCACCAGACCTGCCCACTCCCCAGTCCCTTCTCCCTAAAGAGGCACAGTGTGCTGAGGTTCATTGTTCCTAGTCCTGCTTCTCCAACAGGCCCCCTTTTGTTCATACACATACCAACTTGGGCCGGGAAAAAGCATTTTGAGGGGCTCTGTATCTGGGTCCCTCCTGATCCCCACCAGTGACCTGAGTTCCCAAGTATGGGAGAAGAGCCTCCCGGTGTCATTACCATTACTGCTGCTATTGACAACAAATGTAAACACAGATACAGTAAGCAGAAAAGACCCACTAGCTGTGGCCATTGTGGGGTACTTCTCTCCCAGTTCGGAAAGATCCAGGTGCAGGACTCAGAACCCCAACTGTATCCCCAAGGAGGAGGTTCACTATCAGAAAGTACCGACAGTGTAAGAGAACCAACACAAAGGAGTGATAAACTTGCAAAACTCTTACCTGCAGTGGTCAAAAGGTAAACGACGAAAATTTGTCTGTGGGATATCTATTTAAAATGAAATAAGAAACAGAAAACTTATTCTGTAAAATATTTCATCTGTGTGCTCCTATCAACAATTCAATTACATTTTATGAAAAAGTTTGTGTGAATTACCTAGTATAGCAATTTCTGTGGATTAAAAACCTTTTAACAGATATAACCAAAAAAAAATTCTTAAAAACTCAGAAGAAAAAGTAAAAACTTTTCTTTTTCATGGCTGGCTGGTTATAGGATCTGAACCAGCCAGCCTTGGTGTAAAGGTATAAACTTTTTTCCTCCCATTAAAATTATAATTGTGCTCTCTTGGGCCGGCCCGGTGGCGCACTGGATAGTGTGCTGCTTGGGAAGCGCGGCGGCGCTCCCGCCCGAGGGTTCGGATCCCACATACAGACCGGTTCCCGCTCACTGGCTGAGCGAGGCGCGGGAGCAGCGCCGGGGGTTGCGATCCCGTTGCCGGTCCCCGGTCCGGTGCGGGGGCAACACTGAGGGTTGCGATCCGTTGCCAGACACGGAAAAAGACAAAAGACAAAAAAAAAAAATAAAAAAAATAAAAAAATAAAAAATAATAATTGTGCTCTCTTTACTGCAGCCTTGATAGCTTTGGATAGTATCACTTTTTTTATTCTTTATTAACTTGATAGAGAAAAAAATGTTATTTTAACCTATGTTCTATAAAATCATCACTGAGATGAAACCTGTTCTCTTATGTTGAGTATATTTCCTCTTTTGTGAACTGTGCCCTCAGCCCATTTGTGTACCAGAGTTTCCATGTTCTTATTAATTGTCCATTTTTACAGCTCACTGTATACCGAAGACATCCTTCCTTAATACCACCCCCAACCCCAGGGAGAACAGAAGGATTTCATGCCTTACCTGCCTTTTTGCCACCATAGAAGTGAGTGTATTCAGCACAGGTAATGTACCTGAAGAAGAAAGAGGGAATGTTACTTACCACCTCCCTTTATATAGAGGACTGAGTCTTTGGAAGTAAGTGATTGATGAATTTGCTCATTTAGCAAATGCTTATTAAACACCTACTATATGTCACACACATAATGATCAACACAAAAGACATGGGCATACACAACTAGTAAATAAATACATTGCTTTAAAGGAAATGAAATAAAAATGTAACATTAGCCAAGCTGGGGCCACTGGAGCTCAGGGGAAGAGGAGGAGAGACCTACGGAGTTCATGAAGGCAGGAGAAGCCACAATGAAAGAAAAAACTGCTCTCAGCGTTTTGGGCTGTGGCCACCTTAAGGCTGCAAATGCTGAGCACACAGAGCAGGAGCAGGCAAAAGCCGCAGCTGTGCCCTTTGGATGGAGTTGCTTGGAGGCGGCAGGGGAGAAGAGGGCCTTGGTGGCCCCCAGGACAGCAAGCCCACTAATGGGGTCCCCGTGAACCCACGCAGGAGTGAGGAGCCAGAACAGCTGAAAAAGGGGAGCCATTCAGAGGCCGGTGAGTCATCGCAAGGGACCGGTGCAGGGCCCATCCCATGGGAAGTGTTTGGAGCACGGCAGTGGAGGAGACAGGCCCTCCAGGAGAACACCAGGACACAAAAAGGACAGACGATCCACCCCACAATCAGCGCAGGACCACTCGGAAGAGACTAGATGGGAATGCAGAATTGCATGGGGTGCAGTTTGATGAAAACACTCAGGCCCAGATCAGAGTTTCTACACAACCCAGGTGCACCATGTCTCTGGAGAGCTGGAAGTACCTATAAGGTCAACCATTAAATCCTGAGCAGCACAAAAAGCCTTCCCTAGGGAAACAGAAGCAAAGCTGCAATTTAGCTCAACCACAGAGCTCAAGTGCTAGTTCCCACAGGAAGTTCCCCCGTTTTAGAAGTAAGCAAAGGACAACAAATTAGATCCAGCCCAGGCACACCAGCAGTGCCTGGGGCCCGCCAGGGGACATGAGGCATGGAGCCAGGGACTGGACCTCTGCCTGCAACCAGGCACACCATGCCAATGCCTTAGTACCCTCCTGGGGACCTGAGACCGGACTGCCCTCCCACAACCAGGCACACCATTCCAGAGCCTTGGGGCCCACCCAGGGACCTGAGGCATGGAGAAGGGAACCGGACACCTCTCCCACAACCAGGCACACCGTACCAGCACCTTGGGGCCCACCCAGGGATCCGAGGCATGGAGAAGGGAACCAGAACCCCCTCCCACAACCAGGCACACTGCACCAGTGCCTCCGGGCCCACCTGGGAACCTGAGACATGAAGCCAGGGACTGGACTGCTCTCCCACAACCAGGCACACTATTCCTGAGCCTCAGGGCCCACCCGGGGACCCAAGGCATGGAGAAGGGGACCAGACCACCCTCCCACAACCAGGCACACCACGCCAGCACCTCTGGGCCTGCCCAGGGATCCGAACCCCCTCCCACAACCAGGCACACTGCACTAGCACCTCGGGACCCGCCCAGGGACCCGAGACATGAAGCCAGGGACTGGATCACCCTCCCACAACCAGGCACACCATGCCAGCACCTTTGGGCCTGTCCAGGGACCCAAGGCATGGAGAAGGAGACCAGACACCCTCCCACAACCAGTATATCACATCAGTGCCTTGCGGCCCTCCTGGGGACCTGAGGCATGGATAAGGGGACTGGACACCCCTCCCACAACCAGGCACACTGAACCAGCACCTCAGGGCCCACCCGGGGACTCAAGGTGTGGAGGTGTGGAAATGGGGACCAGACCCCCCTCCCCACAACCAGGCATACTGCGCCAGCACCTCAGGGCCTGCCTGGGGACCCCAGGAATGGAGCTGAGGACCAGACACTCCCCACAATCAGGCTACTGCCAGCACCAAGGAGCATGCCAAAACATCATCTCCATGTGGGTGGTCCACCACAGCCACCACAATAACCATGGCTGCTGTGAAGCAGCTAGACACCACACCCTTCGTGCAGATGTACGCCAGCCACTGGAGTGCATTTACACAAGGAGAATCACTAGTAGAGATAAAGAAAAAAATAGGAGGTCTCTCTCCACAAAGCCCATTCCAGAGTGACAGAAGAAGCATCTGCTCTATGATAATACTGGGGGACCCGATCACACCTCTCAGCATTGGACAGATCATCTAGGCAACAAATCAACAGAGTAATCATTACTCTTTCAGAAGGAGAGAAGAAATCTAGGGTAATTAGAGGGGGGAGGGAGAGGGAGAGGGGGATGGGGAGAGATTGGACAAGAGGCATAAAGAATAAGTATGATTCGTAACAAGATATATGCTAGTAATATTGATTTGATCAACATATCTCAATGTTTTTTTTTTGTTTTTTTTTTAAAAAGATGACCGGTAAGGGGATCTCAACCCTTGGCTTGGTGTTGTCAGCACCACGCTCAGCCAGTGAGCAAACCGGCCATCCCTATATGGGATCCGAACCCGCGGCCTTGGTGTTATCAACACCGCACTCTACCGAGTGAGCCACGGGCCGGCCCAACATATCTCAATGTTGAACCCACAAAATATGTATAAACAACTTTGATTCAATAAAATTTAAATAAATAAATAAATGAAATGAAACGAAATGAAATGAAATGAGAAGGAACTGGGCATGTGAAGATCTTGGGGAAGAGCTTTCCAGGCAGGAGGACCAGCAGGCAGATCAAATATAAAAGCCCTGAGGCAGGAAAAGCTGGGTGTGTTCCAGAAGAAGGGAGAAGTCACTGGAGAAAAGCATGCACAGGGCACGCAGCAGCAGATGAAGACAGAGGCACTGACTGTGGCTGGATCACGAAGGGCCTCGCAGGCCATGGTAAGGGCTCTGGATGTGCCCTAAGTGGGACAGAAAGCTGTCGGCGGGTCTCAAGAAGGGCCCTGGGATGATCTAATGTATGTCTCAAAGGATCATATGAAAAAATGCTCAACATCACTCAGCATTCAGGAAATGCAAATCAAAACCACACTGAGATACCATCTCACCCCAGTTAGGATGGCTAAAATCCAAAAGACTCTGAACGATAAATGCAGGCAAGGTTACGGAGGAAAAGGAACTCTCATACACTGTTGGTGGGACTGTAAAATGGTGCAGCCTCCATGGAAAATGGTATGGAGGTTCCTCAAACA